ATAGATAAAAACACGTAATTACAACCGGCTAACTAGCCGGAAAAGGGAGGCCTATCGCCAAACGATAGCCTAATACACAAACACTACAAACACCACACATTGGATATAAAATTTTTTGGTCTTGTTTGGATTTTTTTGTTTGGTTTGGCTAGTTTTGAAAAAGTTGGTATGGTTAGTTGTTACTGGGTATATTAAAATAATTTTTAAAATAAAATGATTAAAGTTGATTTGATGTAAAGTAGGAGAAAGAAGATTTGAAGTAATTGTTAGTTAAAATTATGTGAGTGGATGAGTAGTGAATTAAGGTGATGTGGTGTGTAAGAATGATTGATTGATATTATTTAATTATATTGATAATATTGATGATAATGAGATTGAGTAAAAGTTGAGTTAAAAAAGTAGTTGAGTTAAAAATGTTTGAATTTTTTTGAAAAATTTTGTATCCAATCATGCTCTAAAGGCTTCACTAATGGAGAATACTCGCTCCCCAATGGGAGAATACCAGCTCCCCAACGGAGAATACACATTCCCCTACGGGAGAATACATGCTCCCTAAGAGAGAAAGCACGCTCCTCCCTCAGGAGAAGACGCACCAACACCAAGCACAAACCAAAATAACAAGACAACTAAAAAACAACCCCACAACACAACACTACAATCCCACTCCTGCAGCACTAAGGAAGTTGTTCGACCGTCACCCCGAATGGCAATCACAAATCGATCGAGCCCACCTAGGGTCAAGTCTTAGAACTCCTATAGTACCAAAAAAGGGTCGTGGGAAAAACACAAACCTAACAACATCAAACTAAACAAAAACTAAAAACCAAAAAATAAAAAGAGAACCCTCCTTTCGACAGGCTTGCAGCTCCACAATCATCGCGCCATCCACCGCAGAGAGATCACCCGGACAGATATAAACCGAGACAAAGCACCGAACCTGATACTGCATAAGGCCTAACAAGATCCTATACCCAATCCCAATCAACTTGCCAAGGTAACCGACCCTGACACCAACAAGCCCGAAACTAGCCCTTACTGAACTCCCCCTCACCAGCCGGCAGCCAAAGGCGACCACCACCGGAGCAAATGACCCAACCCCACAGGAGTAACCCAATGCCCAACCCCAGGGACGCTAGGAACGCAGATGGGGGCAAAGCAACGAACCAGCTCCCAACTCTAGACACCCGCCAACTACCAGCAGTCCGGGACACCCAACTACTGGGGTAACAAACCTCTACCACCGGCATCCCCCGACCACCCCACCCAAGGGATGAAAGAGAAATATAGGGAGAAAGAGGAGCTAACCTCAGCTCCGCCCTCCGCCAGGCGGAGAACAGAATCTGACGATCAGCCACCCGTCGAAGGTCGGAACAGCCCCGAGTGCGAAAATCGAGACTCCTCGCGGTGGAGGAACCCACCATCCGTCAGAGACCAATAGGTACAGGGCATGCGACGGCGGCAGCTGCACGGCGGCTTGGAACGCCCCACCAAGGAGGAGGCCAGCGGCGATTAAAGAGCTAAGTTTAGGTTTTGGAATTTGGGGGAAATCGTTTTGGAGAGAAAAGCAAAATATCGTTTTGGAGAGCAAATGTTTAAAACATGGTATCTTTATTTTTTGTTTAATTTTTGCCCAAACAAGTCCCCACATACCTAAAGACGCCATTTGTACAAATAACCACATGCAAACCTCAAGGATTACAACTCTTTTTGCCCAAACAAGTCCCCACATACCTAAAGACGTCATCTTAACAAATAACTTCAGGCAACCTCAAGGATTGGAACTCCTTTAGCGAGCATTGAATAGGACATAACATAGATATGGAGCACATTCACCACAGACTAGTAAAAGCTCATTTCTAGTTGAGTTTGAAAAATTAACACTGATATATCATCTAGAATAGCCCAGTGAACCAGCCTGAGTAGTACTTAGCTCGGGTACGGCTGGTTCAAGAGAGTTTCAGCTCGGTATTAGTGCTTCGCCTTGATAAGGAGTTTGCTTCGGAAACTAAGGATACAAGTCAACTTGACTAAAGGATTGAGGAGTCAAGCTTGTCTAGGAGCTCGAACAGATGAGGGGATGTTTTAACCTAGAGGTCGTGCAAGAAAAGGTCAGGGTTCGACTGATAAGAGCCTACTGCGGATGGGTCATGAGGTTGTTGGGACGATCTAGGGATCTTGAGCCGTACAGTAAGATGGAAAATAACCATGCTAAATATGGTAAGTGTATCTCACTAATGAGTCTAAGATCTTAGAGACATGTTAAACTAGGAAAGAAGACACAGTTGGATATCTTTCCTAGTAAAGACTTTACTTGGGCAAGAAGATAACCCGAGTAGGGGTTACCAAGTTTTATTTTACATAAGGCATATTACGCTTTAGGTATACAATTTTCATATACATTCACGAGCGAAATTATGACTTGAGCGTTGGAGGTTTTCTGACGAGTCCCCTCTCCGGTGTATTTTGCAGGTCATTGGAGCTCAACGCAAAGGACCGTTCGTGGTGTTGGTTTAATCCAGTTCTGAGGCAATTTGCATATCAAATTTAGTGCCGTCAGTGAAAAAAATCTAATCCTTTACCGGCTACAAAAGGCTAAGCTTTTTTCTCACAGAGTTATCATGAGTACTAAGGTCATGACTGAAAAAAATTTGCTAAAGAACCTTTGGAAGGATATGGAAGAGGCTTGGTAGCATAGGTCCCTATGGGAAGAGGAACACTACCCGGTTGGTCAAAAGATACATCAACCAAGTCATGCCATAGGCAAGCTATTAGCACCACGAACGGGCGTGACCCTAGTTGTAGATCGTTTGCCACGACCTAGTTCCATGCAAGAGTCATCAGTACCCCAGCCAGAGGTGACAGTGGTGGGAAACTAGGAGCAAGTCCTGGTGGCTCTGCGGGTGTGTATACTAATAGTTTGAATTTTTAGTATGAATATTATTTTTGTTTGAATGAGAATCATGTTTAATGAAATGCTTCTACTTGTTTTACATTTAGATAAATATGGTCGATCACATATAAGCAAAGATCATATTATCAGTTACTTGTAAAACATAAGGACTGTTCACAACCCAGATAGAATTGAAAAAACTATCGAGAAAGGTTGTAGTGTAATTTGGATCGGTTAGTCTCGACATATAAATGACACTAATGCACTAAGAATGCATTGAACGTGGCTGCAGATGGTAAGTCTATTTCATACTAATCAAGTAAATAAACTTGACATCGGTAATTATGGTGCACTCTTAAGTGGTAAGATAATAACAAAACGTGCACTTGATATTTATTTATTTGATTCAGTAAAAAGTGATATTCATTCTGTTGGATCAACAGTTCAAGTGAGTTGATAAATAAATAATATTGTTTGTATAGTGTGTTGGTGCGCCAGCTTGATGATGTCCCGTAATAACCATGAAAGTTCAATAATGAATGTGTGTGTTATGCATTCGTTGTGTTTACATGTGTTCATTATGTGTGTGAGTTTGCATCCTATTTTCTTATACTTGGCCCAAAATCATAATGCACATTACCTAAATTGTACCATATTTAGGCCCGTCTAGACATGGCCAAAACACGGGCCCCCGGCCTGGCTCGACGGGTCGGCGGGCCTCGGATTGATAACCGGCCCGAGAATTTATATGGGCCGGTTCTTGAACCGACCTTGAACCGGCATTGAACCGCAAGTTTTCGGTCGGTTTCGGGTCGGTGCGGCCCATTAAAAAAATAAATTTCAAACGCCGCCCGTCTTCCAACCCGCGGCCTAACCCGACCCAGACCGTCGGAAAAAACAAAACACAACAAAAAAAAAAAAAACTAAGAACTTGAACCGACCCGTATGGCCAAGGTTCCAGTTCAACGAACCGGCGAAATCCGGGACTATTGCGAGCCGGGATCGGTTGAAAGCCAGGCCGGGTAGGCCCGTGGTCATGTCTAGGCCCATCTCTAAATTGCAATAAAAGAAGTCAAAATTTCATCTGTTTATATTTAAACTTTAAAAATGTTTGATTAAATCTATAACTTTTAAAAAGATTGTGATTTTTTTTCCTCTTTTGCAATTAAAATTTATGACGAAAATTCACATGTAGATAAGGGTCCAAATTAAGTAAATTAGCTCGAATTTGGGCCTGATGCCTTTGGTTGCAAAAAAGGTGAGGATGATTGGATATAAAAATTTTTGGTTTTGTTTGGATTTTTTTATTTGGTTTGGTTAGTTTTAAAAAAGTTGGTATGGTTAGTTGTTAGTGGATATATTAAAATATTATTTAAAATTAAATGATTAAAGTTGATTTGATGTAAAGTAAGAGAGAGGAGATTTGAAGTGATGGTTAGTTAAAATTATGTGAGTAGATGAATAGTAAATTAAGGTGATGTGATGTGTAAGAATGATTGATTTGATATTATTTAATTATATTGATAATATTGATGATAGTGGGGTTGAATTAAAGTTGAGTTAAATAAGTGGTTGAGTTAAAAATGTTTGAATTTTTTTGAGATAATTTTGTATCCAAGCATGCTCTAAAAGTTCATTTATTTATATCCAATTTTTTAAGAAGAGTTGGCTTAAATCTAATTTGCAGAAAAAAAATATATCAAATTTGTTTTGGTAATTAACCCAAATTTTATTTAATTTGTTTTTCATCTACCAACACAAAAGGGTGTAAGGCACTGCAACAAGCTCAACAAAGGTTACATTTGATCACATAAAACTCAGTAGGCACAGACAACAAGCACAAATTGTAATAGATCATCAAATAAACTTCATCTGCTACATTCAATTTCCTCTCACAAGAGCTCACATCCAGCCAAGATCATTCAAACTCCCTCACTCCCCACTAATAAAAAAGCCCTAAACTTGCGTTCGAATTACAATAACTTCACAAGAAATCCTCATCTTCCATTTCCATCCGATATATCAGAAATCTTGAAGCCCACAAAGCACAAAGAAAAAGATCGCCAATCTAAATATTAGTTACCCTTTCTAACACATGGATAAGTCATCAACTAGCCTGCTAATTTCAACACCAATTTCTATAAATTTCGAAAAAAGAAGGCAACTTTACAACGCAATAGGTGGGATCACAAAACTAAATTCATCCACTAAAGTTGAATACACATAAGATACAAATTGAACGACGAGGCCATTGTACAGCTTCTCCTAACTGCAAGTCTGCAACTTTCATTTACCCTTGTTTTGTTTTCTTAAGATAGAATTTCCTTAAGGACTAGTATTGTTACCTAATGCAGCCATTAGCTCCTGAGGAGTCGGATCCCAAATCGGTAAATCGGTAAGCTTCTGCTTCAATCTTTCCTCCTCTGCACTGCATAATGCCTCTGCTATATCACATAAACTCGAAACATCCCCAATTATGGCTTCCTGTGCTTCAACCTGCAAAATACAAAATAAGTGACAGTAAATCAATAAGCTCACTTTTCTTCATATTTTCTTTCTTTCAGACGTTGCTTCAAAACGACTAGCCAGCATTACAACAGCATTGATATCATAGCTTCATATATTGAAGAATAAAAAAACAGCATTTTTTTAAGCAATTACAATTGGGAAAGTGTCAGCCATTCGTTTGTCAATGCATTATAGAGCATTATTACCTGAGCGAGAAGATCATCAACTAATCTCCGGCGAGTGGAATCTGAACCCGAACCAGCATCTTCCGAGCTCGAGGCCGCACCATACGACGTCGTCGTGTGATCCAACTCTTGATTCTGCTTCAGTGACTGCGTTTGGGCATTTTGCTTCATTTCTCTCAACGTGTTCGATAAAAGTTCCCACCGAGTGATTTCCATCAAATACTTATCCCTCAGCTTTGAAAGAGCGTTCTTCTTCCGCTCGCGGCGGTGCCTCCTCTCCGCCGCCGGATCCGGCAGGGGTGGCACGGAGGAGGTAGTGGCGGTGCTGCCGGGATCGAGGCGCAGGCGCTTCCTGCGCTTGTAGACGTACCCATCGTCGGTTATTAGTTCCCAATCGTCAGGGTTTTCGTAGCTGGCCATGGCTACGCATTCACCTGCAGAAAAAAGTTTTGAAATTTCGCAACGGGATAAAGTTTTGAGCGGCGACGAAATTTTCAAAATATTTGGGAAATTATTTGAGCGGCAAAGGACGCATGTCAATTTCAGAAAGAGGTTTCCGTGGACCCCTTGAGTTTCTTTAAATTATAATCTCGCCCCTTCGATATGAGTCCCTTGCAATGTACGGGTAAGGATAGAGATATTGATTAATATTTATAAATTAAATTTTTTTATTAAATAATACTTATAAATTAAAAATATGGAATCAATATTTAATATAATTTACTTATATTAATGTCTTATTTAAAATTTGTACACAACATGTGCGATGCACATAACTGATAATAAATTACATTACACTTGTTTAGAAATAAGTTTCATTACAAAATTTTTATTCAGAAATTCGATTTGACTATAATGTGATAATCATAAAATAGTTGTTTTGGTAAAAAATTATCATATATTCAACAACTTATTTGAATAATAAGTATAAATATAAAATTTATATTGTTTCATTACTTAAAATAAATTTATTTTTGTATAAACTATTCATATAAAAAAATTAAGTAGTTGAGTAATTTATTAAAGTATAAATAGTGACTATTTCGTTTACGACAAAGTTAATTTGACCTGTAAATTATTGAGTAATTTATTAAACTATAAATAATTGACTATTTCGTTTACGTCCAAGTTAATATTGACCCGTAAGTTACGAATAATTATTTTTCTATTTCGAGTTATAAATAAAATATTTTTAAATTTTTTAATATATTATATACCAAATTTAAACCATACAACTAATAAAGGTAATAGATGCAAGTTTTGTCAATATATTATATTCCAAATGTAAGTCATGCGGCTAATAAAGGTAACAGCCGCAATATTTGACCAAAATGATTATGTACATTAGTTACATTAATTTAGGCGGGATTTTTCAAGTTTTGGACAAAAAAATACTCAATTTAGTCTTAATTTTTAGGAGAGAAACAAAATAATTTTTTTTTTACTGATATTTAGTCACTACTAGTTTTTAGCCTGTGTATTCGCACGGAAAGCTATATGATAAAGGAAAAAATTAATTACAAAAACAATTGTAAAAATCATACATTAATGATTAATCATGGGAAAACAAATTAAAAAAAAAAAAAGAAAAACTAAATATTATTAAACACATGTACATTAATTAATCAACACTAAACATGCATATTCATCCCATAAGCACTTCAATTTAGTGTAATACGAGTCACTGTAAAGTTTCTCTGTGAAAAAATTAGCTATCTCCTTTTGCAATTGATATCTTAGAGGTCTATAACTTTCCTGATATCTTTCAGTCAACTCATCCCAAAGTTGTTTGAAACTTTTCACATATATGAAGGTCTCTACCATTTTCTTAGATATTAAATTCAGTAGCCACGATATCACCATAAATTCTACCTTTTCATACTGCTCAAACTCCTTTGAATCTGAATATGGTACCTTGATCGTGCATAACACAAAACCAAGCTTCGATTTCTCTCCAAGCACTAATTTTATTGCTCGACTCCAATGGAGGTTGTTCTAGCCAGTGAGCTGATTGCTTACCAACACCATGTCTGGATGATATGAGCCATGGAGCATTAATGGATCTGCATCGCGTATATGAAATCCTTCGTTCGCCAATTCACATTTTGCACCATGAATTAAACTCGCTCTTGATATCATGTAGAGCTAAGAAATTTCAAAGAATGTTTGGAAAATCTTTGGGAATTAAGCCAGAAAGTGGCATCTGCCCACTAACACCAGAGGTAACAAACATCCCGCACACCTACTCACTTATAAAAGCGTAGAACGTTTTCTCTTAAAACACAGACGAAAAGAAATAAAAGAAAAAAACACCTGCTATGCATAACACCCCTAACTATAAAACAAATAAAAATTAGGCAACAAATCAAAAACCCTAACTAGGGGTGCACAAAATTCGGTTAACCGAATCAAACCGACCGAAACTGAATTTTCAGTTTGGACCAAAACCGAAACCAAATATTCGGTTTCGTTTTTGGTTTATATTATTTTGTAGTTTTTGGTTTTCGGTTCGATATTTAATACAAGTGATCAGTTAACCAAACCGAACTGAAAATCGATAATATATATAAAAGCCCACTACATATATACATATACATTATCTATCTATCTATATATTAGGAGCCCACCCCAATTGTTTTTATCTATCTATTCATTTGATTGGATATAATTTTTTTTTTTTTTGTTTTGTTTGGATTTTTTGATTTGGTTTGATTAATTTTTAAAAATGTGGTATGGTTAGTTGTTAGGACATATCTAATAGGAGATTTTCATGAGGTTTAAAATATTGATGCTCACAACTTTTCTATTAGAAAGGACAACATTGGGGTTTGAAAACCCAATAACGGTTTACAAGTTACTTCTCTCATAAACCTCTACTTCATTAAAAAAAAAAAAAAGTTGTTCAATGTAACACAAAAACGTGTTGGTGCAATGTCCCACCAACTTTTGTTTTTTCTTTTTTATTTATGTTTAAAATATTAATAAAAATGTAAGAGTATAATATTAATTAAAATTAAGTGTGAAACATGTGAGACCCATAAAAAAAGTTTGTGAGATTTATTGTTATTAAAAGTTGGGTAAATTACTTTTTCCCAGCCGAACTATCGCGATTTTAGCGGCTTACCATATCAACTATATTTTTTGACAAACCACCATACGAACTCCACGTTTTTTTCATCTTGTCCTCTAAACCGGATATAAAGTAGTTTTGACCAAAATAAAACTGATTTTTTAGGGTACTAGTACAGAGCCCGTGCGATGCACGGGGTGCACGATTTTAAGGTCATTTATCCATTCTTATATTATATAAATGAATAAAAAAAATGTACGGGATATATATAGTACGTGACATGTAATAGGCCAAATGTGAACACGGGTGATGCACGAGGTGCACAATTTTAAGGTCATTTATTAGTACAGAGCCCGTGCGATGCACGGGGTGCACAATTTTCTAGTATGTGTAATAAAAAGACATACCGCTTATGCACGAGATAGAAACACTAAATGAGTCATTTCCACAGAGCTTGCCCGTTAAGTAGCTCTTGAACACGGGTGCACAATTTGTAGTACGTTCCATAAATCAGAACAGATTTCCATACAATTAGATAATCAATTAGATAATAAATAAATCCTTTTTATTTTAGTAAAGATTTTACGTACTTTTTTTTTTTTACTTATCGGATGTTATGGTATTTTTTTTGTTAAACAATTTTATGGATACAAATACAATTAGAGGATTGAACAAAATCAGAACAGATTTTCATACAATTAGATAATAAAAAGGAATTAAATAAGGAAAAGAAGCAATTAGATAAGAAAAAGAAGGAATTAGATAAAGAATTTTGAATCTGACTTTTTTTTTGGATAGATAGACTTTACGTACAAATTTTGATTTTACTGATTTTATGGGATTTATTTTGACAAAATTGATGTTAATATGGAATAAGACAAATAAATAAAGTCTTTTATTTTAGTAAAGATTTTACGTCTTTTTTTTTACTTGCATATGTTATGGGATTTTTTTTTCTTAAACTGATTTTATGGGATATAAGACAAATATCCCATATTAACATTTTACTGATTTTATGGGATATATTTTACTTGCATACGTCTTTTATTTTAGTAAAGATTTTTTTTTTCTTAAACTGGATAGAAATAGCAATGCATTAATTACGTTGATTTTTCAATCTATTAAATTTGGTAAATAAGATACCTTATATAATAAGTATAGATACAAATAAATAAAATGCCAAAATTTTAAAGAATAATTAATGTATTTAATTTATTATCTACCCATCAGTAATATCATTTAATGAAGTGATCATTATCTCTTAAATGATAAATATAATATTAATTTTAAAAAAATATTTGTTTTTTATATACTCAAATAAAAATTAAAAAATATTATCGACAAATATGAATTATAATATATATCAATAAAATCATTGCAGAAGTTAATAAAATTATTTAAGGAAAGAATCTTTTTGATCATATTTGAATAGGAAATGTACATATGCAAGCAATTAATGCATATAGTAAAAAATTTCTAAATAAAATATGTATTAAATGTGAGTTGACTTTTTTGTTACTATTTTTGGTAAATAGTATGGCTTTTAATATAAGTATAGATTTTAAGAAATTTTTATATTTTTTAAGAAAAAAAAAACATGCAACACATGTCGCCAACCAACATCTGTCATCTTCTCCGCCTTCACAGCTGACGTCTCCGGACTCGGCTATCACCGCCGTTTTCTTGGCCGGCTTTTGGATGCTCGACATCTCCAACATCTTCATCCAAGGCTCCACCCGGGCCCTCCTTATCGACATCTCGTACAGCAAACATGCCTCCGTCATGCTCGAGACTACTTGCCTTCTTCGAAAACATTCTCGGATATGCCGTCAGAGCCGGAGACACAGCCGGTCAGAAAACTGTATAACGATTACATTTTACGTCTTATTAACTCCATAAGAGAAAGACCCAACAACTCATCGACTGTATATTATTGTTGTTTCATTTATTATTTTAAGATAAATGTTAACTGACCAGACCAAGATAAACTTTTTTGTAACCACTCAAAGCTTAAAACAACCTACAACTCTAGTCTCTACATATATGAATCACATGTTATATAAATCACAAGAAATCAACAATGCAAGACTACTGTAAAAATGAGAAGCTAATAAGCAAAGTCCATGTTTAAGTAAAATTAATGTGCAATGGCAAGCTAATGGCGAAAACAAAGTCCATAAAAAATCACCATTGTTTAAGTATATGATGTGCAATGGCAAGGGCTTAGCCAAGTACAAGACATGCAACTTCCAAGTTTGTCCAGAAAGCAAACACGAAACATGGACTCGAACCTGGGAATTTCAGGTCTCAACACGACAACAATACAAACAAATATGATGGCAACGTATCG